TCCATCCATCCATCCATCCATCCATCCATCCATCCATCCATCCATCCGTCAAACCAACCAACCAACCAACCAACCATCAAATCAATCAAATTCACAGTTTCATTAAAGAATGAATGACATTTTTCCTGATTATTCTCAGATATTATGAATTACAGTAAATAAACGTTTTATTTTCTTCCACCTCTAATGTTTAGAAATCAAAATCTCATTTTAATTGGTCGCTTGTAGTTTTTTTTAAAGACTTGCAGATCTAAACAAACGTCTTTTCAAAGTCACTTGAATGCAGCATAAGGATGTGGGCGTGACTTTAGCGAAATGGGCGGGGCGTACGACAGGTGTAGCGGCGGCTTGGACCTGCTGTGTTCCTGTAGGCAGGCTCCTGTCCTGCGCGCGCTCTGTGTCGTCTCGTGTTCAGACTCCAATTCAGGTGATTTAGTTCGAGTTTTCAGGAGTTTCAACTCACCTGAGATGAAGTCAGGTGCAGTTTGGAGCTTCTCAAACCACTCTGGACTTTTACTCAGGGACGGATTAGGATTTTAAGGAGGAGTTGGAAACACCTGCTGCGGACTGAGTTTCTCTGCTTCAACTTTACCCCGAGGAGGATGTTTTAACAACTAGAAGACAGAACGTTTTGCTTTTTTATTTTGGATTAAAGATGAAGACGATCAGGACTCGGGCTGAGGTTCTTACACTGTTTTTTATAACTGGTGAGTTTAAAAAAAAAAAAAATTCAATCTAAAAGTGACAAAAATAACATTTTTCAGCACTGATAAAAATCATTTAATCGTCCGTTTTAAAGTTAACTCAATGTAGACGCTGAGATTTTATTTAATTTAGATAAAAACGGATTTAATTAGAACGTATCGTTGGAGTTAAAGCTGCTAAATGACGTTTTAATGACCGTGTTGGCTACAAATAAGCACCTGGTGAACTTTAGCTGTTTTATTTCCAGGGACACAGAGTGGGGAAGTGGACTTAAGTTGGACTTAAAACTCCTGTTTTTGTCTTTATCCTGGTCGATTTGTATAAAACAAAGCTGCTTCTATTTCAGTAAGTCAACAAACCTTGCTGTTTGGACTGAGTTATAGTCAATGATGGGTTAAAATGTGTCAATGGAAAGCTTGGCATTGAACACATCATAGAAAAGTTTTCTGCTCTGGTCTTTTAGCTTGCCTTTCTGATGACTTCCAGGTTTTCAGCCAAAGTGATTTATAAATCATTGCAAAATTAAAAATTCAGTTTATTGTAATCGTTCTGCTGTTCCTCTCTCCATCTACTGTCTCTTTTACAAATCACAAGATTAATCCATTGTGTTTTGGACCCAAACCATCGTACGACACTGGTGGATCCTTGAAGAACACATTCTGGTAACATCTATTTACACTAATTCTGATGTTCAGCTAAAAAGCAGGCGGGTCCAAAAATCTGAGCGATTCAGATTCCAAACGGAAACGACTCGGTCGAGGATTTCCGTCTTGAGGAAACTTGTGGACCTCGGTGAACCGGTGAGGTTTTTGTTGAACCTGCGTGCAACAAGAAGTCCAAAACAATGAAAAGGTGTGAGGTCTATCGGAGCTGTATTCAGATGTTGGGTGGAAAGAATGTGAGCATCACATCCCAAACTGGACTAGTTGGGTTTATTTACATCAGCCATGACAGACTTCCACTGCTTTATAAAACAAGACGTTATTTATCTTACAATGGGGAAAAATCAGTGGTTAAACTGGTACTTTCTAAGTGGCACTAGTTAGAAAACATTTGAAAACCTGTGCAGGAGAATGATAGTGTTTTTTTGTTTTGTTTTTTTACTAAAACTTTATTTGACCCAAAACTTCTTTGGTAACTCCTTCAATCCGCAGGTGTCACCTGTACTGTTCAGGTTGTCACGGTCGCTTGTGGTGAGAAAAAATGTTCAGGTGTGGCTGCAGAGTGGAGCAGTGAAACGTCGTCCTGCAGGTTTATTGTGGTAAAAATTAAGGTTTAGATTTGCTTTTTGTGAACAGTTTTCTGTAAACGCTCATCTCTTCATCGTAAGTTGAATCTGTTACTGCAGCTGCAGTGCAGCAACCTCTTGCTTTGAAAGCTTTTAAGGTTTGAAATCAATTACCGTACTTGTCACCGTGCACGTCGCACTGCCGTATAAGTCACATCAGTTCAAATACGTCTACTAAAGTGGAAAAAACATAAACACGTCGCTTTGCCGTACAAGTGTAAGGCGCGACAAAATGCAGCTGATATGATGTTTGCTCCAGGAGCTCCGGAGCGAGATGAAGGTGGCTTTGTATGGCAAGCCAAGTGTCTCATTAATAGCCACTTTTACCTGTTAATGAGACACTTGGCTTGCCATATTAGTCGACTGCCCTCTAGTGGCTGAAAATGGTAGTGTTCAATATTTTTCATGTCAGAATGAATGAAATCGTCAGATCTCAGCCAAAAATCAAATTATTAATATGGGAAATAATCATAAATAAGTCACTTTTCTGTTTAAGTTGCAGGGCATGCTAATTTATGCAAAAAGCTGCGACTTATACAGCGAAAAATATGACATTTTTTAAATTTTCAATTTGCCTATTTTTTAAATTAATTTACCTAAACAAGCCTTTTTGAGATGATTATTGCCTGAGGCTCTGTTTAAAAGTTTATTCTATAAACTCCAATGTGTCTGAACGATGTTTCACTTTAAAGTTTGATTTAAAAATAGAAATAAAACGTCACCATTTTGCTCAGAAAGGTACAAACGCTCATTTTGTCTCTCGTCTTCAGTGCATCTTTGCTCATTTCTTTGCTCAGTTTGAGCACCAATCCATGAAACATGTCGCATGCATGTTTTTCATAGTGTGAATTTCTGGATTTCTGTTGTAATTTTTACTCTGAAACATGGGATTAAACCAAAGCAGATGTAAAAACCTGCATGTTGTGTTCACGCACGCATCAATCCTGACCTGTGTAAGAGATGTACCTGATGAGTGGATGAAAATGCAAATGCTCACAACATCCTCTTCCAGTTTCTTCTTGCGTGCATTTATCCACTGAAACACTCCAAAACAAACAAACGGTCATACGACGTGTAAACGCAACCACGCATCTTCTGGAACATTTACCGTCATCGTGCATGACGCAAAATTAGATAATATTTTATAGCTTTCCAAACATTTAATATTGTGGACAAGTTTAAATGAATATTGATGTCGACGCAGAAGCTTCGTTTAAATCTATTCCCAAACTAAATGTACAAGCTTTAAAAAAGCAAAACAACTTCTTGATGAATCCACTTTAACTTTTTCGGTTCATATGTTTAAAAGTATTCTCCATAAGTCTTTGAAAGAGTTATAAAAGTATATTTTAAAGCCATTACATCATGAAAATTACTTTAGGGCATTGCATTTCCAGTTTTTATCCTAGTATTCCTGTGGGACACGCTTCATAATCACCTACTGCTGGAGGTCAGAGAGGTTGTTTTTTGCTTTTTAGTCTGTCTCTGTTTATTATTATTATTATTATTATTATTATTATTATTGTTATTATTTAGTCAAATCCCATTGAGATCACAGATCTCTTTTGTAAGGGTGGTCTGGCCTTGAAGGCAGCCCAACATGCATGTTTCCGGACTGTAGGAGGAAACCCACGCAAACTCCACACAGAAAGACACCAGATCCAAACTGGGGATTGAACTCAGGACCTTCTAGCTGTGAGGCAACAGTGCTAACCACTAATCCACTGTGCTGCCATCATGTTTACTTGTAGTCTTATTGAAATATCTCACGGAGCACTGGACAGATTTTACTCAAAGAGGAGGCGGGCGACGTGCATTCCTTCACAAAGGTTTTTAATTGTTTCAGGAACGTTAAGGAACATCAAAATATCGTATATTAATATTTGTTTGTCTCCCTGCAGAACAAAAAATGATTTTTTGCTAACACGAGCAGACGTAATTTAAATAGTGGAGGGTTGTTGATCTGCAAAACAAGCTAAAATCGCCCAAACTGAACTGGACTCGTACTGACAACCCGCTGCAGCCTGAGTCCTGCAGGGAGGTTGATGAGCAAAAGAAAGCAGACGTCCACGTGTTGCGTTCGGGAGTCCACGAACTTCAGGGACATTTTATCCTCTGCAGGTGTGAAGACGAAGCGGTTGAACAGAATGTGGTTTGGTCACATTTGTGCGTGTTTTTCAGCAGAACACGTTGCCCAAATTCCTGTTTTTATGACTAATTCTGACGCCGCTCATCTCCTTTTGTTTCCTTCTTCAGTGGAGATTAAAGTCCGCGACAGAGTGGAACTCCACGCCGAGCAGATGCACCTATCAAACTTTTGTTTTCAGCAGTGTGATCATCTCTGGTGTGATAAGGTTCCTCTCGCTCGGAGTGAACAGGAAAAGCCTGTAGGGCGGCCTTGTGACGATCCAGTGATCTTGGTGTTTGTCTAAGTGTGCGAGGAGCGTTGAACTCTTTCTGTTCCACGTTTGTCTCAGCTCTGGCTTCCTTCCTTCCTCAGACGCTAGACTTCCTGAAACAAGTTCCCCAACACGAGAAGAGGCCCGGATCGTTTTGATTGATTCATTTTTTTGGTCCCATATCGGCGTTTTTGTAATCATTTATTGAAGGCGGTGAATCAGTAACTGCAGAAGAATGAAAGCGTTCACCCCAGAAATCAAAGTTCACACGTTTGTCTTTTCCTGTTTGAGTTTGTTGACGCGCCGCTCGCTCTCACGCCCGTCTCCTGTGTCCCACGGTGAAATGCAAACTTTTTTGACAGGTGTGATAAAAGGCTTAGTCATCAGTCAGCCCCGCAGTGAGCTCGTCGACAGCGGCGTTTAAGAGGAATGCTACGGTTTGAGTCTTTAAAACAAGTTACTGTCGTTCCCGGCGGCACGTCACTGCTTCTAAAGTTTGGGGTTATTTATTATATCACATTTGATTAGAATGTGTAATATTTACGGCAAGGAGTGCGTGCATTTTTCACATTTAGCACTGGCCACGCTGAACGTATGGCACGGGGGCTGCACAGCTGCAGAAAGAAAAGCTTTGCAGAAAGTGGTGAAGGCTGCACAGAAGTCTGTTGGAGTCAGCCTCCCCACCATCACAGACTCCTCCACCTCCAGATGCAGGAAGAGGGCCACCTGCATCATGAAGGACCTCACTCATCCAGCACACACTTTTTGCCCCGCTCCTGTCAGGCAGAAGGTCGCGGAGCTTTAAGTGTAGAACCACTAGACTGAGGAACAGCTTCTACCCTGAAGCTGTTAGACTCGTGAATCTCAAACTAGAATAATCACTGTGATGCCACTTTAATTGATTTGTCACATTATCCATGCTGCTGACCTCTTGCCTTTAAGCTGCTGTATTCACACCCATCTGCTCGCAACAGGCTCATGTTCAGGCTGCTGTTTAATACATCGTATTATATTACATTATTACTGTTCAGTGTATATCTTAGATCCTTATATGCTGTTTCTTTTTATACTTTATATATTTGCTATTCTTGGGTAGAACTGGGACCTTGAGTTCCACCTCCTGTACCACATGAATGACAATAAAGTCAACCTTGAGTAACTTATCTGTCCAAAGTTCAACCCTCCTGCTGCCCTTGGGTCAAAATAACCCATGAGACCTTAGCTTTGAGGTAGGAAGGGTCAGATTTCGCCCTAAAAAGAGTCTTTCTGCAAAATGATGGCAGACACGGGAACTTTTTCTAAATATTCCACGATGGTCGAGTGAACAGGAAATCACTCAGATGAGCCTCGTCTTGTTGAAAATCCTGTGGCCTGTAAAAACATTCAGTGTTCAACTCCTGATAAAACGTCACCTCACGTTGTTTTACGACACACTAAGATGTAATCGATGTGTAAAAATTTGGACAACGTGCACAGAAGATACCATCTCCAGCGTAATTTTCATCCGTTGCTGAAGTGCCTGAAACACGGACAGGACAATGTAGAGATCTTTGTTCTAGATAAGCTTAATGGAAGCCTGACACACAAAAATCTAATCTGCTCGGTGGAGGAAACGGGGCGGACATGAAGTTCAGACAAAGCTGATGACAACTGGAAAGGCGAATAAAGACCTTTTGACCTTCTGCTTTCTTTGTGCAGTCCGTGTCCAAAAACAAGCACGCCAGGTGAACTTGTGACTGACTGCAGGTGTTTGTCTGTAAACAACCCAACTGAGGCTGTACACAAAGTTTACTTTAGTTCTTCTTCTTTTGGCTTCTCCCTTCTTCACAGAACTAAGTCGCACCTAGGCCCGTCACGATAACAAATCTTACTGGGCGATTAATTGTCTCAGAAATTATTGCGATGAACGATAATATCGTTTGAAATGTGACGATAATTATTGTCACATTTAAGAGGAAATGTTGGTCAGTTTTTGTGTGTAGTACCTGTTTTGACCAACGGATGGCAGTATAAGACCATTTGAACCAAAGGATGGATAGTGAGGGAGCGAGCAACGTGTCTCTTTAAGAAAATGGGAGGGAGGCCCTTTGACGTGACATGGGCTGTCTCTCTTTCCTTTTTTTCGTTTCTAAAAATGGCGGACACTCTGTGCGGTTTGAGCTCTTTAGCGTAGCATTTTTCACACAAAGCTTTTAATAATAAATCCGTAAACAAGTTCTCAGCTTTTTTTTGCAGAGGAAACAACTTTTTACACGAAGGCACGGGTATCAACCGTGAATTTTAAAGCTTCGACAATTTGTTTTTTTTTTTCCACGAGGCCGGCCTGTTAACTTAGCTCGTAGCTTAGCTGCTTTTATCGATCCAAAGACGTGATTTTGGACGGTTAAAAATGAATTTTAAAGAGAAAGGGAGGGGTCAGTGAAGAGCACCGGAGTGGAGCCTTTTCTCATCCGGTGTCTTCAGTAGAAAGAGAGAGACACGAAGAAACGATAAAACCGATAAATGAAAATGAGGTTGATAATTTTAATTTATCATGCGATTAATTGATTTATTGTTTATCATCAGGCCTACTCACACCAAGACTTGGCAATTGTTTTTTCGCCGGATGCCCTTCCTGTTGCAACCACAGACCATGAGCTACCACCGCCCTCTGTGTGGAGCAGAGAGCTGCCATCTAGGGCGCCTGAGGGATGCAGGTGTTGGGGGTTAAGGGCCTTGCTCAAGGGCCCAGAGCGGGGCTAATGAGGGTGGAGGCAGGTGTGGGTGCTTCACCTTTCCCACCCACATTTCTTTTTTGACGTTCCAATCACAGGCTCGCCTCCTCTAAATGTCTGTCAACTACCGTAACGAGCTAAAGAATGCAAAACAGATTTTATGGTGGCGCGTTTCATCTGACAAACAAAACCTTTAAAAAAAGTAAAAAGGCTCGCTTTGGAAAAACTCGTATAAACATTTAAATACCAAAGTAAAAACGCCTGCACACATTCCACAAAGGTTATTATTATTATTTTATTTTTCAATTCATTTATTCATTTATTTAAAAGAAACATAATAAAACAAATTCATCTAAAAGAAAACAAAAATTATTGAAAAATGTGTAGAATTATTATTATTATTATTAATATTCCTGAACATAATAAATATACTGGATTAAGACAATTCAAATGATTCAGTCTGTTAAACAAACTTTAACATTTAAAATACAAACTGCATGGCCCTGCAGCTTTATCTACGCAACGTGCATGCATGGGTCTCTTTCTTCACCCGCCTGCTGCAACATGGCGCACGAGGCCTGCAGATCATTTTGACCCAAGGGCAGCAGGAGGGTTAAAATAATGCAAATGATCAAACATCAGTTATTTTCTCTGTTCCAATAAAGTTGTCAGGTCCTCTGGACTGTTTCTTCTTTTTTTTTTTTGTTTTAGAGACTTTTCGTCCTTCATCCAAAGGACTTCATCAGTCCGAGGAGCCACAAACAAACTCATTCACAAGCAGCACATTCGTATAGTGGGCCAACCAGTTTGATGGTGATAATGTTTTTGATGTTTGATGTTTTGAACCACATTGGCCATGGCTTCCTCAGAGGAGTCGACGGGGGAGAGGGCGGACTCCAGAAACCATCTTATCACCATCAAACTGGTTGGTCCACTATGTGAGTGCTGCTTGTGTGACTGAGTTTGTTGTGGACTGATGAAGTCCTTTGGATGAAGGACAAAATATCTCGATTAAAAAAAAAAGAAACTGTCCAGAGGGCCTGACTTAACTTTCTTGGATTTTTGACCTGGATTATTGATCATGAACTTTGATTTTCTCTGTTGTCCGACCATCTTTCTCTCCTCTCCTCAGTGGCAAGCGTTCAGGGCGACTTCGTGGAGCCTCCTGGGCCCGTCACGTCTCTCCGCTCCCTGACCGACTCTCCGAGCCGTTTGCCCTGTCAGTACAAGGTGGAGGGCGAGGCGAAGGTGGTGCAGGTCACCTGGAACAAGGAGCTCGCAGACGGCACCAAGGAACCGATCATCACGGCCCACTTCACCGAGGGACAAACGGGTACGTGGGCAGAACAGTTTGCGACTGTGGGTCGACTGCAGAACATAAAAGAATGAACTTTTATTTAAATTGTTTGCTTCAGTTTTTCCACTTGTACCTGCAGTCACTGTCTGAACCTAATACGAAGAGCAAACTTTCATTTGAAGGAGTCAAATAAATAGTCTGATGCGTTTAATTACGGTTTGAGACGACTGATCATTCTGAAAAACTTTTGGAACAACTTCCTGCTCAAAAACAGCACTATAGAACTAATTAATTGTATTTTTAACAGTATTTCCATTTTTTTAAAACCATTTTTACTCCCTTCTGTTCCAGTTTAACGGCTCCAACTTTAAGATTTACATGAGTTAGTTTAGATAACGGTCTTTTAGCATGAATATCGTGGACTTGGGTGCTGGGTGATGCTTTTAGAGCTGTTTTTTCCCCGTCTGTCATTAATTTTGCATGATCACGAACAGGCCAACTTATCTCTAATTGCTTCTGGAGGATTTGGAAACCAGAAGCTCTGCCTGCTCCACCACTCCCGAGGACATCTGTGGCCTTATCAGAACCATGATGCTGATGGACACTGTAGTTATCAGAACTTTGGAACTTTCTGGAGTGTTTATAAATCACTGGCTTTGTCGACCTCTGTGCATAAATGTATTACGATGTCATCGCGTGTTGCAGTTTTATGTTGCGAGGTCCTTTTTTGCATCTTTTATACTGTTTCCAGGCCAGGACATGGCGTGAGACATGATGTTTTTTTTGCTTCCTCCACCCTCATGCTCTCTTTTTCTCATCTGTCTGTATGTTGTATGTAACAGGTCTCTCTTAAAAATGAGTCTTCCAGGCTCAATGGGAACTAAACGGTATAAATAAAGGTCTAATGAACTTTTGCATGAGATGTATCGCAGGTTGGCTAGCACTTGCAGTTGAGTCTAAATTCAAAAACTACTTTAAAATTTAAATCCTACATGAGAGCAAAACAGGCAAACTCCTACTTCAGTGTTATTGCTTTGTTTCGTTGTAAATGTGTTGGATGGGTTTCATAAAAGGATTCCAAATGCGATCACAAAAGGATTTTGTTGTTTTGTGCATCTTTTATTTACTGCAGACAGACAGATATCTCAGACACGCCCTTCAAAGAAAAGTCCAACCATTTATATTTGTTATTTTCTTCCTTTCACTAAATGGAAGTAAGAGGTCAGAATGTTATTTTGTTCTGCGTTTAGTCTTTGTAAAGCCCGGAGCTGCTCGGCTGAACCTGTTTTTTTTTGTTGTTGTTTTTTTTGCCAGCGTTTGGGCGTTACTCCAGCCGAGTCAAGTTCGAGAGCTCCGACCCCATGGAGAACTCGGCTCTGCTCATCGCCAGCACGCAGGAGTCCGACGAAGGCAGCTTCATCTGCCACATCTCCACCTTCCCCACCGGGAACTTTGAGAGACGCTTCGAGCTCACAGTCTGGAGTAAGTTTCATCTCGCCTCCATCCTGTCAGAGCTGCCAACAGGTGGAAATCAATAGTTTGATCCCCGTGGCCATAAAATCTCTACAGCAAAGGAAAAGGTTAAAAATAAAGTTTTCAGTTTTGATTAAATTCCTATAATAAATGCAAGACTTTCAAAATATCCAAATCCAGGTGTTTATTAGACTCATTGACCAAACCCTGTGTAGATGTTTTATACTTCCAGAAAATGATAGAAAATTTGAGCTGAAGAGAAAAAGATCCCTCTGAAAAACAAATGGGCATCAAAAATGTTTGCACAATAAAACCATTAAACTCTTGACTTGGTTTTATGCAACAAAGACACCGTAACAGGAGGAAATTTGAGAGAAGACGAGCTGTTATTTACTATAAATCATAACTCTTAACGTTCCTTGGAGGAATGCATGTCGCCCGCCATCTTTACTGTCAGACTGAGATCGTCTGATGATGAGCAGGAACGACGTTACAGCTGTAAATTAATTTATGCTAAATCTTGTGACACTGAGATCTCACAAGCTGCTCAGAGCATACGTAGGGCATGACTGTCAGCTACTACCACACCGAATTTAAGCCAAAAATCTTTAAATTTGACTGAGTTATAGTCATTTGTGTGTTGGCTAAGGTGGCGGCCATCTTGAACTGAGCTGACCCTAATTGTTAATGAGTTGTAGACTCGCATTCAATAATTATCTTCTGGGAGTTTCACTCAATTTTACCCTGTGACTCATGAGATATTTTGCTAACAGACAGACGGGACTAAATTAATGTGCGTGTTGACTTATCAAATCCTATTCCAATTAAAAACATCCTTCCAGCTTTGCGTTGGTGACAGACGATTAACACAAGAGAACAGTGGGTTAAAAATCCAATAGGTGTTTTTATTTTCTTTAACGACGGCTGCATGAAAAACTTAATTAACTTCCAGTCTCATCAAAACAGATGATGAGATTCCAGTTTGCTGGATGTTGGCCACAATGTGTGTACAATCACACCTACTTTAATTGTTTTTCTTCTTTCGTGAAAAGGAACAAAGACGTCACCCTAACAGCTTTTGGACTTAAAATGGTAAAATAAAGTAATATAATCGTATAAAAACACTTTAGGGTACTGAAAATGTCTTCCATTGCTCTTCTTTAATAGGACTTTGAAGTTCTGCACCACTCTGAAGTTAGAAACTTAAATCTTTCCTAAGACGATTTGCGCTGTGCATTCATCGTCAGCCGATGAGCTCCTCTGATCCACCGTCTCTTCCTGCGTGGATCAAAGTGAAAAACAATCCCAGCCGGGACGATTAGTCGAGCTGTGGGAACGTCGATTTCTGGGTGGATCCCTTTTTTTTTTGTTTTAAAGAAGTAAATATTAGAACGATGTTATCGCTCCCAATTGACTTTCTCATTTCGCTGCCAGTCATCAACAACAAGCCTTGGGGCCCGAGCGTGCCTCGGCACGCCACGGATCAGGCGAAACGACAAAAACACACAGACGAGTAACCGACAACCTCCAGCTCCGAATTCCCTCAAACTTTGACACATTCAGCCACAAAATGTAGATGTGCATTTCAAATCTCCTCACAGACTGCCTGGAAGCTGACGCGACCTGTTCATGCAGCTTTTTAATTTTTTAATTTTTTTTTTATACCAAACTATTAACTTTTCAGAGGGTTTGTAAAAACCTTGTAGTAAAAGTGTAGAGAACCGGCCTTTACCGTTCCTCCTGCGCCACTTCAGGACAAAACTGAAACGAGAAGGGAAATGGAAACCAATTCAAACGCAGGTTTCCTGTTTAAATTTGTTCTTGCCCAGCGCCGAATGGGTTAAATCAGCCAGTTTTACAGATAATGAGCTAAAATGTGGCGTGGTAGTATCTGATCTTTAACACAGTGAGCTGACATTAGAAAACCTCAATGTGACGATAACAGACAATTGTACAGCGAGTTAAAACGGTGTGGTAGTGACTGAGTGTCATCCCAAACACATATTTTGAGCACCACACATTACGCCGTATTTGTGATTAAAAAATAAAATAAAAAATAGCACTAACTGTTGGCATCAAACCTATCTGTTAGTCAGCAAAATATCTCATCAACAAGAGGATAGATGTTAAAGAAACTCTCGGAAAGGATGTTTGTCTACGATGGATTAACTTTTGGAGTCGGTTTCTTTTCATAGAGACGTTTCACCCTCTATCCTGAGGGCTTCATCAGGTTGAGGAGTTCCAGTAAACTGTTTCCCCACCCAGCAGTAAACTCCTTAAGTGGACCAACCAGTTTGCTGGAGCTAAGATGGTTTCTGTGGGACAGATGACCAGACTAATTATTGGATTTGATACCTGGATGATTGAGCATGAACTTTAACTCTTGACATCTTAGAGTGTTGCATAAAATGTGCATCGCATCATTTACGAGGTTTGACCAGCTGTAACTCCTTCCCATCTCAGACGACTTCAATCTGAACCACTGGCATGAAAGGCAACGGGCAATGTACATTTCTTTACGGCAGTGGTCCAAAGCTTTTAACTTGTGAGCCAAACTTGTCAAGTTGAAAGTATCTGCTGGGTTACAAAATTTTAGTGGAAGGGAAAATGTATAATAATTCTGGTGGAAAATGAGTTTTAAATCATAGTTGCAAAACTAAACTCCTTCACAACCATCTATCTATCTATCTATCTATCTATCTATCTATCTATCTATCTATCTATCTATCTATCTATCTATCTATCTATCTATCTATCTATCTGTCTGTCTGTCTGTCTGTCTGTCTGTCTGTCT